GGGGCTCAGAGAGAGGGGGAGAGATCGAGGGAGACAGAGAGGCAGGGGCTCAGAGCGAGAGAATGAGAGAGACAGAGACAGAGACACAGAGAGAGAGGTAGTGAGAGAGATTATCTTACTTCTCAGTGGCCTGCTCTTCCGCCTCCTCCTCTTCTTCCGCCTCCTCCTCTGTAGGGTCAGCCTCGGGAGTTGGTGGACGGCGGGGTAGGGGTCTGCAGCTCAGTTCAAGGCTGCTTCCCTCCTCAGCAAGGGCGCCATACAGGCGTAGGATCTCTTGGGGGCTCGGAGTCCACGTCTCTGCATCCTGGATCTCCTGGTCACTGCATTCAACGCACCATGAATCCTCAGTGTCCACAGTCAGTTCAGCTAGGCTGACTGCAGGGTCAGCATCCTCTGTCTGCATGCCTAGGGATTGTCCACTAGGAGACCAACTGGACAGGGTGGGGAGGAAGAGAGACAGAGAGAGTGACCACAGCGAGACTGGCTGGAGGGACGGTGTAGGGCAGGGAGAGAGAGAGAGAGAGAGAGAGAGAGAGAGAGTGTGCGCGACAGAGTAAGGGTGAGAAAGGGCAGAGAGAGAGCAAGGGTGAGAGAGGGTGAGAGTGGGGGTGAGGGCAAGGGCGAGAGAGGGTAAGAGAGGGTGAGGGCCATGGAGCATGGTAGAACGAGAGAGAGCGAGAGAGGGCAGACAGAGAGCGAGAGAGCAAGGGTGAGAAAGAGTAGAGGGGGGCAAGGGCGAGAAGGTGGGGCAAGGGCAAGAGTGAGAGGGCAAGGGCAAGAGAGGGTAAGAGAGAGGGCGAGGGCCAGGGAGCATGGTAGAGCGAGAGAGCAAGGGCGAGAGCGAGAGAGCGCAAGACAGCGAAAGTGACAGCGACAGCACAAGCCAGGGAGCAAGAAAGAGAGCGAGAGAGACCGCAGTGAGAACAGCTGGAGAGGGAGACAGAGACTCACCACAATGAGACCAACTTTTGTTACAGGCAGCGAGACAGAGAGGTGGAAACGGAGATTATTCTGTCCCCACTATCTCTGTAGCTGGTCACAGAGTCATACAGCATAGAAACACACCCTTCGATCCATCCAGTCCACGCCAAACATAATCCCGAACTAAACTAGTCCCAGCCGCCTGCTCCTGGCTCCTGTCCCTCCAAACCTTTCCTACTCATGTACTTATCCAAGTGTCTTTTAAACGTTGTAACTGAACCCATACCCACCACTTCCTCTGGAAGTTAATTCCACACATGAACCACCCTCTGTAAATTCTAGGATGTATCTCATCAGATCCAGATTTATCGGTCGTTAGCCCCATTAGTTTTACCAACACTTTTCTCTCGAAATAGTAATTGGATTTATTTCCCCTCCTTCTTGTTTATTTAGTCATTTCAGAATATTACTAGGAGACTGATGCTAAATATGTATTCAGTTCCTTTTCCATTTCCTGGTTCCCCATTACTATTTTCCATTATCCAATTTCTCTTTAGCTCCTCTCCTCGTTTTCATATAAAGAAGCCAGTTTTGTATACTTGCTAGTTTGCGCTCATAACTTACCTTGTCCCTCTTATTTTCTGGTGATAATCCCAATGGTATTAATGCTGTCAGCAAAAAATAAAAGAAACTCCTAATTGTAATAATCTTGGCAGTCAGTAATATTCATGGCAGTAGGTAAGCTATGCAGACAGTAATAGTTCTGACACTTTTGGAATGAGTGTAATAATCCTACTAGGAATAATCTTGACAGTAATAGCCCTGGTTAACAGTAAAAAGCCAGGTAGAAATAGTTGACAGTAATAATTCGGACAGGCGGTAATAATCCTGAGAGTGATACCTCTGGCAGACAGTAACAATTTTTTTTAATACATCTGTGGGATGTGGGCATCACTGGCTAGGCCCAGCATTTATTGCCTGTCCCTAGCAGCCCCTTGAAAAGATAGTGGTGAGCTCCCTTTTTGAACCGCTGCAGTCCATAAGCTGTGGGTAGACCCACAGTGTCTCTTAGGAAGGGAATTCGAGGATTGTGACCCAGCCACATTGAGGGAACGGCGATATATTTCCAAGTCAGGATTAAGAGTGGTTCAAAGGGGAACTTGCAGGGGGCTGGTGTTCCCGTGTATCTGCTGCCCCTTGTCCTTCTGGATGGAAGTGGCCGTGGGGTTTGGAAGATGCTGCCTGAGGGTCTTTGGTGAATTTCTGCAGGGCATCTTGTAGATGGTACACACTGCTGCAACTGAGCTTCGGTGGTGGCGGGTGGAGTGGGATGTTTGTGGATGTGGTGCCAATCCAGGCTACTTTGTCCTGGATGATGTCAAGCTTCTTGACTGTTGTTGGAGGTCCATTCATCCAGGCAAGTGGACAGTCAGGATGTCAGTTTCTTGCTACAGTATTCCTAACCTCTGACCTGCTCATGTTTATGTGGGGAGTCCAGTTGAGATTCTGGTCAATGGCAACCCCCAGGATATTGATAATGGGTAGATTCAGGGATGGTAACACCACTGAACGTCAATGGCAGTTAGATTGTCTCTTATTGGTCATGGTCCTGGCCTGGTATTTGTGTGGCGCGAATGTTACTTGCCACTTGTCAGCCCAAGCCTGGATATTGTCCCGATCTTGTTGCATGTGAACACGGACCGCTTCAGTATCTGAGGAGTCACAAATGGTGCTGAACATTGTGTAACCATCGGTGAACATCCCCCACTTCTGACCTTATGATGGAGGGAAGGTCATTGATGAAGCAGCTGAAGATGGTTGGGCCTAAGACACTACCCTGAGGAACTCCAGCAGAGATGTCCCAGAGCTGAGATGATTGACCTCCAACAACCATGACCATCTTCCTCTGTGTCAGGTGTGACTCCAACCAGCAGAGAGTTTGCCCCCTGATTGGCATTGATTCCAGTTTTGCTAGGGCTCTGTGATGCCACACTCGGTCGAACGCAGCCTTGACGTCAAGGGCTGTCACTCTCACCTCACCTCAGGAGTTTAGCTCTGAGAGCAATACCTCTGACAGTAATAATCCTGTCTTTTGCCTTTTACCTCTACCCTCTGTGTCCCGTCACAAAGCTGATTTTGATTCCAACTTGCTAAATTACCCTGAAACCCAATAACTTTTACCTTCTTTACCTTCATTGCTCAGACCTTTGAGTGTAGGAGTTGGGGACGTCGTGTTGAGATCGTACAGCACATTGGTGAGGCCTCTTCTGGAGCACTGTGTCCAGTTCTGGTCTCCCAGTTGTAGGAAAGGTACTGGAAAGGGTACAGAAGAGATTTACCAGGATGTTGCCGGGAATGGAGGGTTTGAGTTATATGGAGAGGCGGGATAAGCTGGGACTTTTTCACTAGAGCATAGGAGATTGAGAGGTGACCTTATAAAGGTTTATGAAATAACGAGAGGGTATAGATAAGGTGAATGGCAGGTATCTGTTCCCTAGGGTGGGGGATGGTTTCCAAGCCTAGGGAACATATTTTTAAGGTGAAAGGAGAAAGATTTAACAAAGACATGGGGGCAACTTTTTTTTTTAAGATAGAGAATGGTTTGCATGTGGAATAAATGTCCTGAGTAATTGGTGGTTGCGCTTACAATTGTAATATTTAAAAGGCACTTAGATAAGTACATGAATAGGAAATGTTTGAAGCGATATGGGCCAAGTGCAGGCAGTTGGGACTAGTTTAGTTCGCGATTACTCTCAGCATGACCTGGTTGGACAGAAGGGTCTGTTTCCGAGCTGTGTGAGTCTATCAGCTTCCCATGTCAAACGCCTTGCTGAAATCCATACAAAGCCAGTTCTAGTGCCCCACCCTCATCCAAACACTTGGTCGCGCCCTTGAAACATTCCACCAGTAACAATCCAGGCAGACAGAAAGAACACTGACAGACAAGTGATAAAGCTGGATAGTGATAACTCTGACAGTAGTAATCGCAAAAACATTAACCCTGGAAAACCCACGAGAAGCGGCAGGCCCTGGATAGAGAGTCCCGGGCTACGCGCTCAGATCCTGTGTGGACAGGCTGGCTGCTGGTATTCGCTGATATCTTTAACCCCTCCTTACTCTGATCCGAAGTCCCCACCCGCTGCAGGGAGGCTGCCATCATCCCGGTGCCGAAGAAAAGTCATGCAGACTACTGCCCTCACCTCCATCGTTATGAAGTGCTTCGAGAGTTAAGTCAGGGCTCATATTAACGCCAGCCTCCCAGATTGCAAAGGATCAAGACAATGTGCCTACCGGCGCAATGGGCCCATGGCAGACCCCATCTCCCTGGCCCTATGCTCATCCCCGCTGCATCTGAATGACAAGTCTACTCTTGGACTACAGCTCCGTCTTCAACGCCATAATCCCAAACAAAGGCATCTCCAAACCCTGAGCCCTAGGTCTCGGCTCCACACCACCCCCCCCACCCACCTCTGTAGCTGGACTTTCTGACCCATAGACAGTGAGATTAGGCGACAACACCTCCTCCACCATATACCTCAACACCAGTGCTCCACGGGGCTGCATACCCTTACCACACTCCTTATACACCCATGGCCAAATTCCGCTCCAACTCCATTTAGGTTTGCTGATGACACTGCTGTTGTAGGTCGGGTCTTAAACAACGACGAGACAGGACACAGGAAAGAGACCGAGTGCATAGCGACATGGTGTTAAGACACCAATCTCTCCACCAATGTCAGCAAAATGAAGGAGCTGGTCACTGACGTCAGGAAGCGGGGTGGAGGACATGCCCTGGTCTGCACCAATGGTGCTGAGATAGAGACGGTCGAGAGTGTCATGTTCCTGGGAGGCGATGATCACCCAACAATCTGGCCACGTCCATCCATGTTGACACAATGGCCAAGAAGGCACAACAACGCAGCTACTTCCTCAGGAGGCTACGGAAATTCAGCACGTCCACAAGGACTCTTAACAATTTTTATAGAGGCACCATAAGCAAGCATTCCATCTGGATGCATCAGAGCGGGAAGAACAGTTGCTATACCACAGGACCACAAGAAACGACAGAGAGTTGTGAGCACAGCCCAGTCCATCACACAAGCCAGCCTTCCATCCACTGGCTCCATCTACACTTCCCACTGCCTTGGGAAAGCAACCAACATCATCAAAGACCCCTCCCACCCCGGTTACACTCTCTTCCTACCTCTTCCATCCGGCATAAGGCATAAAAGTTTGAACACATGTACAAACAGATTTGAGAACAGCTTCTTATCACACTTTCAAATGTTAATGTTGATCTCTCCTTTTCTGTGCCTTTCCTGCGGCTGTAACACTACATTTCTGCCCTCTGTTCTGCTACCCTGATGCACTTTGTATTGTACAATCTGCCTGTCTAATACACAAAACAACACTTGTCATTGTATCTCAGTACATGTGACAACAATAAATCAAACTCAAACAGAAATAATTCTGACAGTTACAATCTCAAAGTAATACTCCTGATAAGAAAAATATGACAGTAATAATCTTGATAACTCTAGCTGACAGTAATAATGCTGATAGTAAGAACTCTAACAGTAATAATCCTGTTAGGAATAACTGGCAGTAATTCTCTTGAAAGTAATAATTTTAAGACCATAAGACATAGGAGCAGAAATTAGGCCATTCGGCCCACCGAGTCTGCTCCACCAGTCAATCATGGCTGATAAGTTCCTCAACCCCATTCTCCTGCTTTCTCCCTGTAACCCTTGATCCCCTTGTTAATAAAGAACCTATCTATCTCAGTCTTAAATGTACTCAATGACCTGGCCTCCACAGCCTTCTGTGGCAGTGAATTCCATAGATTCACCACTCTCTGGCTGAAGGGGTTTCTCCTTATCTCCATTCTAAAAGGTCTTCCCTTTACTCTAAGGCTGTTCCCTTGGGTCCTAGTCTCTCCTACCAATAGAAGCATCTTCCCAACATCCACTTTGTCCAGGCCATTCAGTATTCTGAAAATTTCAATTAGATCCCCCCTCATCTGTCTAAACTCCAACGAGTATAGACCCAGAGTCCTCAAACGTTCCTCGTACGTTAAGCTTTCCATTCCTGGGACCATTTTCGTGAACCTCCTCTGAACCTGCTCCAGGGCCAGTACATCCTTCCTGAGATATGAATTTTTGCTGTGTCTCCTGAATTACTCCCAGAAACTCCTGCCATTGCTGTTCCACTGTCATTCCCGCTAGGCTCATCTTCCAGTCAATTCTGCCCAGCTCCTCCCTCATGCCTCTGTAGTTGCCTTTATTCAGCTGTAATACCGTTACCTCTGATTCTATCTTCTCCCTCTCAAATTGCAGAGTAAATTCTATCATCTTATGATCACTGCCTCCTAAGGGTTCCTTCACCTTAAGCTCCTTTATCAAATCTGCCAATTTGCACAACACTAAATCCAGTATTGCCTGTTCCCTTGTGGGCTCCACCACGAGCTGCTCCAAAAAGCCATCTCGTAGACATTCCACAAACTCCTTTTCTTGCAATCCACTGCCAACATGATTTTCCCAGTCCACCTGCATATTGAAATCCCCCCTGATCACTGTGACTTTTGATAGCAATAATTCTGATAGTAATTCCTCTGAGACAGTAACACACATGATAGTAATAATTCTAGCAGTAAAACTCCTGCCAATAGTAACTCTGGAAATAGAACTCCAAGCAGGGATATCTTGGATGGAAATCCTCCTGATAGGGTAACTTTGACAGAAATACTGTTGACAAGAATAAATTTCACAGAACTAATCCTGTCAGTAACAACACTAGCACATCATAATATTCCTGTTAGTAATAAGTGACAGACTGTAATACAATTGATAGTAATAATTCCATCCTGACGAAGGGTCCCAATCTGAAAAATTGACTTTCCTGCTCCTCTGATGCTGCCTGACCTGCTGTGTTCCTCCAGCTCACACTGTATTGACTCTGAACTTCCAGCACCTGCAGTTCTTGCTAGCTCCTAGTAATAATTCTGGCAATAATATTCCAGATAGCAATCACTCTGTCAGTAATACTCCCGACAGACATAATTCTAACAGTAATACTCCTGATAAAAATTACTCTGGCAGTAATAACTTTGACACAGACCAATACTCCTGACAGTAATAATCCTGTTAGTAATAATACAGGCACAAAGCAATACTCCTGATGCTGCTTGGCCTGCTGTGTTCATCCAGCCCTGCACCTTGTTGTCTCGGATTCTCCAGCATCTGCAGTTCCTACTATCTCTACTCCTGATAGCAGGAACTGGTTCACGGTAACAATCCTGAGAGTAATAGCTCTGGCAGTAATAATGCTTACCACTGCGACAGAAGTCCTACAGAAAATGATAGATAAGAATGCAGAGAGACTGAGGAAGTGAGAAGGAGTTATTGAAGCAGCGACTTTGTTTGGAGGCAAACTATTTGGAGACTCCTCAGTCTGAATGTGGGAGGGAACAGGAAGTCTGAATGTGGGAGGGAACAGGAATGTCCCGTCTCCTCCGCTTGGGCCGTTCCGCTGATGGGCAGCTGCAGAAACCAATGGAGGACAGGATTCGGTGATTGACACCAGGACAAACTAATGGGAGGTGACATCAGCACAGCGGAAGGGGCGGGGAAAGGTCAAAAAGCAGTCCCATCCGCAGGAGGCAGGTCCGAGAGTTGATTGACAGGTAGTACCGGATGGGTGGGAAGCGTGAATGATGGATGGTTGGATCGACCAATGTAAACCATTAGGGGCGGGAGGCGAATGAGACGGGCAGCAAGACTGGTGACTGACAACAGAATCTTCCAATCCGATTGGAAGAATGTATTGAGGAATAACCAGTGGGTTGCAGGCGCGGGCCTGGAGGGGCGGGCGTTCCGGTAAATCCAATATCAGAGGGGAACAGAGATAACAGGGTGTAGAGCTGGATGAACACAGCAGGCCAAGCAGCATCATTTTCTGAAGAAGGGTCTAGGCCCGAAACGTCAGCCTTCCTGCTCCTATGATGCTGCTTGGCCTGCTGTGTTCATCCAGCTCTACACCTTGTTATCTCAGATTCTCCAGCATCTGCAGTTCCTCCTATCTCAGAGGGGAACAGGTCGCGGTACAGATGATAGACGGTTGAAGCGTCCAATGGGTGCCGTGGCACGTGACCAACTGGGACGCCCGCCCAATGGGAAGGTGGGCGTGTCTACGATTGACGTGTACTTCGGCCAACCGGAGGCGGCGAGCCGCCCCTTCCGTTATGGGGGCGGGCCTGCGCATGGCGGCCAATAGAGTTGGGGTGACGACGGGGCAGCGGACCAGTCAGATGAGGCGCTCGGGAGCCGGGGGGCGGGGCTCTGGTCAGATTTGAATCGGGCGGCGGTTGGGATGAGTGAGAGAACCCGTTCTGGCCGGCGAGGGGAGAAAAAACAGGTAAGAGACTAACTGAAAGGACGCCTTTTTAAATGTTATGATTGTATTACTTCCTCTGGCAGCACGTGGCACCCTCTGCGTGTTGAAGAAAATGTCTCTTTGGATCCTTTTTTAAAAACCTTTATTCTCTGACCTTTAACCTATGACCCTCTGCTCCTTGGCCATTGCCCCTCCGTTGCCCCTCGTGGTTCTATAAACCTTTATAAGGTCACCCCCTCAGCCTCTCCCTGTAGTTCAAACCCTCCAATATCCTTTTAAATCCCCCCCCCCCTCCCCACCAACCTTAAACCTATGCCCCTCTAGTTCTTGACATTCCCTTACCCTGGGGAAAAGACCTTGTTTATTTACCCTATCCATTGCCCCTCATGGTTTTATAAACCTCTATAAGGTCACCCCCTCAGCCTCTCCATATCCTTTTAAATCTTTCCCTTCTCACCTTAAACCTATGCTTCTCTAGTTTTGGACTCCTCCACCCTGGGGAAAAGACCTTGTTTATTTACCCTACTCAGTGCCCCTCATGGTTTTATAAACCTCTGTAAGGTCACCCCCTCAGCCTCCGATGCTCCAGGGAAAATAGCCCCAGCCTATCCAGCCTCTCCCTGTAGCTCAAACCCTTACACTTTCCCCCTCTCACCTTAAATCTATGCCCCTCTAGTTCTGGGCTCCCCCACCCTGGGGAAAAGACCTGGTTTATTTACCCTATCCATGCCCCTCATCGTTTTATAAACCTCTATAAGGACACCCCTCAGCCTCTGACGCTCCAGGGAAAATAACCCCAGCCACTCCCTATGGCTCAAACCCTGGCAAATCCATTGTAATTCTTTTCTGAACCTTTTTGAGTTTCACAGCATCCTTCCTACAGCAGGGAGACTGGAATTGAAGGGAGTGTCCCAAAAGTGGTCTAACATTTACAGCCACAACACGACCTCCCAACTGCTAAGCTCAATGCAGACAAACAGGAGGCTGGAAGAACACAGCAAGCCAGGTAGCATCTGGAGAAAGGAAGAAGTCAAGGTTTTGGGCATTACCCTTCTTCAGGTCTCCAGCCCTGAGGAAGGGTAATACCCAAAACATTGACTGCTCCTTTGCTCCAGATGTTGCCTGGCTTGCTGTGTTCTTCCAGCCTTCTGTTTGTCTACCTTGGATTCCAGCATCTGCAGTTTTTTTTGTCTCTAACCAATCCTGTACTCAGTGCTCTGACCAATAAAGGAAAGTGTACCAAACGCCGCCTTCACCACCCTGTCTACCTGCACTCCAAGGTCTCTTTGTTCAGCAACACTTCCCAGGACCTTACCATTAAGTGTATAAGTCCTGCCCCGATTTGCCTTTCCAAAATGCAACATCTTACACTTAGCTAAATTAAACTCCATCTGCCACTCCTCGTGACATCTTCCCTATACCAGGGAGACCAGAGTCGAATGCAGTATTCCAAAAGTGGCCTCACCAATGTCCTGTACGTGACGTCCTGACTTGTATGTAAGACTTTGGTTCGGCCACTCTTAGAGCATTGCATTCAATTCTGGTCGCCACATTACAGGATGGATTTGGAGGCTTTGGGGAGGGTGCAGAAGAGGTTTAGCAGGATGCTGCCTGGATAAGAGGGTATAAGCTATAAGGAGAGGCTAGAAAAGCTCTGGTTGTTTTCTCTAGTGTGGCAGAGGCTGAGGGGAGACTTGATAGAAGTCTATAATGTTATGAGATGCAGAGGTAGGGATAACGGTCAGAATCTTTTTCCCAGAGTTGAAAGGCCTAATTATAAGGGGCATGCATTTAAGGTGACAGGGGGGAATATTGAAAGGAGATGTGAGAGGCAAGTTTTTTTTTATACACACTGTGTGGGAGACTGGAATGCGCTGCCAGGGGTGGTGGTGGAGGCAGATATGATAGGAGTGTTTAAGGGACTTCTAGATAAGTACATGGATATGCAAGGGATGAAGGGATATGGACCAAGGGCAGGCAGAAGGGAATGGTCTAATTTGGCATCAAGTTTGACAGAACATCATGGGCCAAAGAGCCCATTCCTGTGTTGTGCTGTCCTATGTTCTATACTCGATGCACTGATCCATAAAGGCAAGCTTTTGATTTGATTTATTGTTGTCATGTCTACCCAACTACAGTGAAAAGTTTTGTTTTGCAAGCAGCAGTCGCAGATCATAGCAAACAAGGACAGACATGATCTGGCAGCATCTGTGAAGGAAAAACCAAAGTTAACATTTCGGGTCCGATGATCCTTTCTCAGAACCCTTCCTCAGTGTGCGTGTTTTGAGGAAGGGTCACCGGACCTGAAACGTTAACTCTGTTTTCTCCTTCACAGGTGCTGCCAGACCTGCTGAGCTTTTCCAGCAACTTTGTTGTTGTTCCTGATTTACAGCATCCGCAGTTCTTTCGGTTTTTATTTCGGATGGACAGGCACCCAGACAGACTGAGGTGTGCAATGTTACAACTGCGCAGGAGGTGTACAAAAAGTAATTTGACATTAGAGAGGTCTGTTTAGCAGTCTAATAACAGAGGGGAGAGAAGCTGTTCTTGAACCTGTTGGTGTATGTATTCGAGTCTCTGTATCTTCTGCCAGAAGGAAGAGAATATTACCAGGGTTGGAGGGGTCTATGATAATGTCGACAGCCTTTCCACGGCAACAAGAAGTGTAGATGGAATATTAAATGCAGCCTTCATCACCCTGCCTACGCGCAACTCTGCTTTCAAGGAACAACGAACCCACACCCCATCAACGTCACGTTCGACTGAGTGTGGTATCAAGACTGGAATCGATGGGCATCGGGGAACTGCAGGTTGGAGTGGTACCTGGCACGTAGGAAAATGGTTACGGTCGTTGAAGTTCAGTCATCTCAGTTCCGGCAAATCTCTGCAGGATTTCCTCAGGGTAGTGCCCTAGAGCTCAACCACCTTCAGCTGTTTCATCAATGACCTTCCTACCATCGTAAGGTCAGAAGTGGGGATATTTGCCGATGATCGCACAATCTTCACCGTTCACGGCTCCTCAGACACTGAAGCAGTCCAGAAGCAGCAAGAACTGGACAACGTCCATGCTTGGGCTGACAAGTGGCAAGAGATATTTGCACTGTACAAGTGCCAGGCTATGACTGTCACTTAGTGGGGACAATCTAACCACTGTCCCCTTGACATTCCATGGTATTATCATCACTGAATTTCCCCCAATATCAACATCCTTGGGGTTACCATTGACCAGAAACTGAACTGCACTCGTCATATGAATACTATGGCTATTAGAACAGGTCAGAGGCTGGGTATACTGCTGCAAGTAATTCACCACCTGACTCCCCAAAGCCTGTCCAACATCTGCCACCACCACCAATGCTCAGTAGCAGCGGTGTGTACCATCTATAAAATGCTGCAGAAAGTCCCCAAAGATCCTCAGGCAGCACCTTCCACGGCCACTTCCATCCAGAAGGAGAAGGGGCAGCAGATATGTGGGAACAGCAGCCCCCTGCAAGTTCCCCACCGAGCCACTCCCCATCCTGACTTGGAAGTATATCAGCTCTTCCTTTTAACTGGGTTAAAATCCTGGAATTGCCTCTCTAATGGCATTGTGGGTCTTACCTACAGCACGTGAACTGCAGCGGTTCGAGAAGGCAGCTCACCCCCACCTCCTCAAGGGACAACTAGGAAGAGTAGTAAATGCTGGGCCCAACCGGTGACACACTCATCCAACAAAGGAATAAAAGTGTGGCACTCCCTGCATAGTGATGAACCCGTCATTAATTGCTTTTAACTTTTCTCTCTCTCTTTCTCTCCATCAGATGCAGTCGACGACGTCCAGCCTTCCTCCACCTCCTGCAGACGTCCAGTCCTCCAGGAAGGTGGCTGGTCCACACCATCGCCGCCAGGTGCAGGTGGTGGTCCGTCTCCGGCCGTACCAGGCCACTGAGGATGACCAGCAGCAGGGCCCCTGTGTGCGTGGCCTGGACACCCGCTCACTGGAGATCGTGAACTGGAGGAGTCGTACAGAGACCATGCAGTACAAGTGAGCGTCCCGCACACAGACACAGACACAGACACGCCCTCCCTCCCTT